ATTTTACTTGAAATGGCATATATCATCATAGGTTAAGTTCGAGTTCGAACAATTTTACCTTCGACATTTAACTTATCTTGATAATTTCAATTGTGATTAGATATGTTTTAAGATAAATATTGTTTCACTAATTTTACTACATATGTATTTGTTTTAATGATTGAAAGAAAAAACCGAGAACTTTATCTTTTAACTGCTTTTGTTTTGTTTTTTTTTATAAAACTTTAGTTAAATGAATAATATCTACCTCGCCAATAAGGTGGATCATGTTCAGTATTTCTAACTCCATATAATGGACTTGTTTGTGCTAATGATCTTACACCATATTGTGTCCATAATAAACTAGGATTTTGTAAATCATTGAAAATTTTTTCAAGTTTTGATGATTGTGGATCTAAAATACGTGTCATCAATGGAAATAATGATACATAACCAAAATGTTTAACATATTTAAGATTTAAATCTGATTGTCTTGTAACTTGTCGAATCATATGTGTTGGTTGTGGTTGTTGTGGTTGTTGAGGATTTGGTTTTCCCATGGGTACACGTTGTAATTGTACATAATCTGTATGTAAACCATAATCAGCATACATACCATATTGTTCAGACCAATGTAATTGATCAAGTTGTTCATTATTTAAAAGTAATTTTGCATAATTTAAATATTTATTTGTTTGTTCATTATTTATTATAGAATAAAGTTTACCTATAATTGTTGATGCTAATGTCATCCAACAACGTAAATCTAAATGACGTTCAGCATCAGTTGGATGTGATGCACGTGGATAATCATCAAGACCACTTGTTAATGTTTTGGGATTTAATTCATATATTGATGAAGCATTTCGACCACGCCAACGATATGTTAATGGTTGAGAACCATATTGTGTACGATTATACCATTGATACCATTTTTCAAGACGTTGAATAAATGGTAAATTAAATAAATGATTATTTGAATTTGTTTTTAATAAATATTCAATTGTTAAAAAGAATGTTGGGGGATTAGCATTATTTGTATATTGCACAATAAATTCAGCTGGTACACGAGCACGTGCTTCATCACCAAGTATTACTTCCTAGAAAGAAATAAACATTTGAAGTTTTATAATACTAAAATTTCTCAATAGCTTCATTTTTTTGTTTTGGTCTTTCTTCTTAAATGAATTTCTTTTTATCTGTTCTGTTCCCATATTATTGAATTAATTAATATGAATAAAGAGAGAAAAAGTGATCAAGAGCATAAGATAAGTTAATGCCAATTGATAAGATACGTCAAATATAAATAAAAGTACGTGGAAATCATGTGCTTGCTGCTATACAAACATAAATTAAACGAAAAAAACCGTTGATCAAATAAAAAGTATGATACAATTTTTCGTAAATATTTATTCATAAGGCGTGAAAGAATTATTAACCCAACATAAATAGAACAGGAAAAAAATATATATCATTTTGCGTAGATATGTCGATCAATCGAAGTCTTAGCATATTGTGGAAATGAAAGATCACATTATACTTAATATATCTTGAGAATTTTAGCTGAAAGAGATGAAAGAACTTTTGTGAGAAAGTTATAATTTGTTTGCAAACGTGTTATCTAACACGTAAAGAATCCGTTTAAGATAAAAATTTCTCGATATGATAAATATCAGGCAGAAAATTCTTATTGTAGTTTCTTTGCATAGTTAATATTCTACAATATATTGAAAACTCAAGTGAAAATGACTATCACTCAAGAAGAAAAATCTAAGGATATGAATACCTATAATCCCATTTATGAGCTCAAAACAGAAGAGTATCAATAGATATTCATCCAAATCCAATAAATGATTTGGTTTAAGAAAACTGAAAAACAATCCAACCTCATTGGATTTGAACTTTTTATTTGACTTTAGTACATAGTCTAACAACGCTGTCGAAATTCCTCTTTTGACATTCTCTTGTATCATTCTTCCACTTCATTTGTTCACACACGAAAAGGTATTGTGCCACGTGTGGCGATGTAAATCACTGTATTGGTTGTCGGTAGTGGATGAAATTTTTCAATTAATTCTTTAAAACTCTTCTTAATTTTGACAAAAAGGATGTTGGAGAACTTATTGAAAAGAAATCGAACAGTAACATTTTCAAAAACTTATTTGAGATGTCCGGAATTTTTAAAAAGTGAAATATCTGTTTTTGTGTTGCGGTGGCTCAGTCGATTGATAAGGACATTTTTCTACATTTAGACAAAAATGATCAAAACGGTTTGTGTTCATGCTTAAGTAGACAAGATATAAACTTAAACAATATAAAATAATTCGAGTTAATCTTTGTCATAAGAGAAAAAAAGAAGAAATATCAATCTCGATGAGTATATCACAATTAGATTTGAATTTTTTTTTAAATCTATTTGTCTTACTCTTGGTATCCATCCATTATCATTAAGCATATCAAACCAATGTGAAAGAATCTCCATAGTTATATTTTTATTCCATCGAGCAATAAGAAGATTATGAAAACCTTCATCCCAAAGAAAACCACGTGGAAAAAATGAACGTGATGGTACAGCTGTATATAAACTTGTTGACCAATATTCATCGGGAATTTTTTGATTTGCTTTTGCTACTAATGATTTACCTAAAATTAAATATATATATAAAATTAAAATTCTTTTAATGATAATAATATATAAATATATGATTACCAGTAAAATATGATATTCCACCAATTAAATTACTTAATGTTGATTTAGCAAAATGAATTTTTTTAATATCTATATTTTGTTTAGTTTTTAATTGAAATATATTTTCAAAACGTTCATCAAATTGTTTTTGTAAACGATTTATTTCTTCATTAAAATAATAACCAGTTAAATCTTGTTCTCGTTCATTACTTGATGAATCTGATTGATATATTATATCAAATGAAAATATTTCATTAGCTAATGGTTGTTTTAATGTTAATTGAATAAAAAATGTATTATGTTCAAAATCTTTAAATGGTTGATCCATAAGAAGAACATATGGTTGTTCATAAGAATTTGTTATTAATTTTGTAAGAAGATTTTCATGAATTTTATCTAATTGAAATATATCAGTTAATGTACGTGTTAAAACTTGATTTATTTGTGTATTTAATTTTATTTTTATTGTAAATCCATCAAGTTCATTTGTTTGACCACGAACTGTTATTATATCAGGTGATTCATTTGATATTGAATTTATTTCATCAATCCAAGGAAGATCATGATGGAAATAGAAAAATAAAGATATTGGTATTGTACGATTGTAAGACTAGAATAAACAAAAAATAAATAATTATCATCTCGAGTCATATTAAACTTATGTATATCAAAATCATTGTTTTCAAAAAGAAATTTCTTATAATACAGTTTCAGTTAAACTAAAAAATGTAAGAATTTCTGATGAGGAAATTATCAGAACTGATAGCCACTGTTGGGAATCATATTACATATGATAAGGATATCTTCATGAGACTAAGAAAAGTCTGGAAACTTATTCTGAATTGAGAGATGAAATAAACTAGGGGTGGGCAGTTCCCGTTACATTCCCAGGTAACTGGTAACTTTTCCGTTACCAGTTCCCGGATAACTGGTAACGATTTCGAACCCGTTTCTCATCCTCAGCTCCTAACCCTAGGGGGTCCTCAAGTCCAATTTTGTATACCAAAAAATTTTTTGGTATACAAAATTGGACTTGAGGACCCCCTATGATTAGGAGCTGGGGACGGGAAACGGGTTTGAAACCGTTACCAGTTACCCGGGAACTGGTAACGGCGGTAACTTTTTCGTTACCAGTTACCTGGGAACGTAACGGTAACTTCCCACC